CCCCCTACCACGTTGTACAGGCTGCTATTTTTAACAACAACAAACTCCTAACCGTATTGTCAAACGACTGCACAGGTGGTACAGTGGCTGACACCGGGCAGTGTATTGTTGTGGGTTATGGAATTTGGTATGGGGTAACGTTTAAAAAATGTATTGATTTGCCAATCATCTGTAACGTAGTGGTAACTGAGTATATTGTGACTGAGTGGTGTCGTGCTGCGCGCTGTGCCCACTGAGCCGCGACTCAGTGACACGGGACGGGTGACTGACCAGTCACTGATACAGATATAATACTGCAACTTTACGACGATCATTAACTGCCACTAATTGCTGCGCGGTTATGTCACATACTGCAGCACTACCTCACGCTATAGGTACACCTCACTAGAGTGTTTATGTACCTACTTACTACCTCAGTGTAAGACGAGGTGGACATGTTGCGATATGTCGCAAATAACGTAACAGCGCTGCTTGTGCTCGCGTATTTAGATGTTACTTTTATTATACAAGGCGGCAGGCAGTCAGCGCGGGCGCACTGACGAGACAAAACAATGGCGACCTCTTCCGTAACTCGACAATGTGTACCAACACACAACGTACTACCGGTGGAATCCAGTTACTGTTACGAATCAAACAACCACAACATCCCTGGCCCAGCCGAGGCGGGGGATCTTGTAAAGTACTTAGGTACTAATAATACCTATGTAAGTGTAGAAAGATTGTCGGCTGACATCTAAGATGGTCAAAGTCACCCCACAAAAAATTTGTTGTTAATATTTGTAAATGGAACGCCCAGAGTATCCGCCCTAAACTTGCAAGTTTTCATTTGTTACTAAATAGAGAAGAAATACATATTGCCCTAATAACTTATTAGGGCAATATGTATTTCTTCTCAATATGTATTCAATGTCAGCCAGGTCTCACTTATTAGTAATAAGTGAGACCTGGCTGGACATTGATCAGTCATTGAACACTCGTGAATACAATGTGTTTAGAAAGGATCGCTCCGATTCCTACGGGGGTGTAGCTATTATGATTCACAAATCTATACAAGCAATAGCATGTCCTATAGATCTAAATGTGGGAATAGAAGCTGTCTATGTTAAAATAATGAATTGTAGTCAATTACAACATATAATTTCTGCATATTGTCCATCCTCGGTCCATACATTTCATGCTGATTGGGACACATTATTTTCAAAATTTTCAAAGAATACTCTCATTGCTGGTGACTTTAATGCTCACCACACTGGTTGGTCATATAAAAACGACACCAGGGGAACCCATATTTTTGATGCGATGCTGCATAACAATTTTGTTTTTCTTAATAATGGCGATCACACAAGAGTGAAATTAGTTAGTAATAATTTATAAGAAAGTTCCCCAGACATTACTTGTGTTACCACAGACATAGCAATAGATTTTAATTGGCGGGTCTGCAACGAAAATCTAGGTAGCGACCACCTTATTATTAAAATTTCAATGCACTATCAGGATAGTTTAACATTTATTATGAAACGCAACTTAAAGCTAGCTAATTGGCAACTAACTAACCTATCGCGAGTCTCTCAAACAATCCTTTGCAAATATTTCCATGCCTCAGAATGTGCAGGAGGCTTACGACCTCTTTATTGAAAATATTAATAA